CCAATACTTGGCGATAATTGCGGCACATCCATATCTATCTATCTATCTATCTATCTATCTATCTATCTATCTATCTATCTATCTATCTATGTCAATTTGTTTTTATCTATCTATCTATCTATCTATCTATCTATGTCAATTTGTTTTTATCTATCTATCTATCTATCTATCTATCTATCTATCTATCTATCTATCTATCTATGTCAATTTGTTTTTATCTATCTATCTATCTATCTATCTATCTATCTATCTATCTATCTATCTATCTGTTGAAACTTGACTAATGCAAGGAATAATAATGCAACACAAAATATACTTAGAACAAAATGCATTGAAACAAGAAAGTGTACACAATATTTACATATAGTCTTTTGTATATTCCTGGTAAGACCGTTCCTGGAGAATATGTTGACTGAGTCGCAGTCGGGCAGAGTCTCTGGTTGAATCTCTTGATTCCTCCCCTCGTCTTCCCGGTACCAACCATATTTATATGGTCGGTACTCCACTATGCAAATTAGGTGGATCCTACCACACTATCTATCTGTGTTCATTATCTATCTATCTATCTATCTATCTATCTATCTATGTCAATTTGTTTTTATCTATCTATCTATCTATCTATCTATCTATCTATCTATCTATCTATCTGTGTCCATTATCTATCTATCTATCTATCTATCTATCTATTTGGCAGCAGAAAAACGTGACTTTCACTTTTTAATTGGGAAACAGACAGATCAACACACTGGTTCAATTTGTCTCCAGATACAATAAAGTGACTGAATCATAAGTGGAAAGGGATCACTGCTTGGGCGATAATTGAGGTAGAACCATGTTGTTTTAATCTATCTATCTATCTATCTATCTATCTATCTATCTATCTATCTATCTATCTATCTACATAGATAGAGAGATATCTATTGGTTTGGAGCAAAGTTTCGAAACGTTTCTCAATAGACGGTGTATGAACACACGATTTCGTTTCACACGTGAATGGAATTTATGACAACTATCCTTATTCTAAAAGGTGGAATTTCAACGTGTCTTCTTCGATTTGTGAGAAACTTCTGGACTTTAAGTGTTTCTTTTGTTAAAAGTGAAAATTAAGACGAGATGCATTTTCGTCATTTGATGCGCCTTTATTTCTGACAAAGAAAAAAAAAACACGCAATTGTATTCTGGCATGTCATTTAGTCTACTTGCATTTATATCTTGGTTAGCCTATAAACTTTCCAGTCAACACTCATTTATACACACACACACACACACACATATATATATATATATATATAGTGTGTGTGTGTGTGCATCTGTACGCGCGTGTGTGTGTGTGTGTGTGCATCTTTACGCGTGTGTGCATGTGTGTGTATGTATTGATTTATCATTTACTTGTATCTGCTGGTGATTGTAAATGTAGTACACAATATGGCTTTTATTTTATGTAATTTTACAGGCAATTCGTCCATTTTTTTTCTTTGGCCATTATTGCAAATTACTTCGAGCATAACGAGGTTTTCTTCGATAAACAGAACAAGGGATTTATTTCCCCCCATTCTAATTAAACGCGGCCGCACGTCCCGTTAAAAAAAATATTCGTTCTCGTAAAGTTTCTGACGAAAAATAAATTCTTTTCAATTTTTCTATGGTTTTGAACAATATATCATAGAATAAACTAATTATCCATTCACACACACACACACACACACACACACACACACACACACACATATATATATATATATATATATATATATATATATATATATATATATTAGACCTTAAATAACTTCACTGATTTTTCATGAAAAGTAATGTTTTATTTACATAACGTAGTAAGAAACATGTCACTGAAATTATTGTCAATCGCTTAGCACTACTCTTTCCCATCTTTCTGGCAGTATTTGAATTCCACGTCGGGAAAACGGCACATCTTTTGAGGCTAACCATGAGTCGAGCCATTTTTTGGTATCTTCATAGGAATGAAAGTACTACTCAGCCAGGCCGTGCCATCAATACGAACAATCGGACGGGGCAGATTCTGGTGATTACGGTAGGTGGGGTAAGGATTTTTCATTTAGGCGTATCCAAGTAAGTTTTCACCCATTTTGGAACATGTAGCCTAGCGTTATTATGTTTCAAAATCAGTTTGACGTGTCTCTGCTTGTATAGCAGCCGTTTTTTTTCAACGCTCGTCTCAAACGCATCAATTGTAGTCAATAGCGATCTATCGTGATGGTTTCCGTCAGTTTGAGCTGCTCATATTAAACTACACCCAGCTGATTCTACGAAATACAGAGCAGGAACGTTGAACCATCGACATTCGGCTTTGCCGCCGATGTTGATGCATGGCCGAACTTACATAACGATATTCAACGATTAGGGTTATCGTAGTGTATCCACTTTTCATCGACGATCACGATACGATGCAAAATTTTTTTCCTTTTCTGTCGTTGAAGCAGCTGTTCACACGTGACAAGACGCCCTTCGACGTCTCTCGGATTCAACTCATACGGCACCCAATGTCCTTGCTTTTGAATCATCCCTAATGCTTTCAAACGTTTCGAAAATCTTGTGTGATCAATTCCTAATTATTCTGCAAGTTCAGCTTGCGCCTGACATGAGTCTTCATGAAGTAATGTCTCCAATTATTCGTCTTCAAACGTTTTTAGTGCGCCAGAGCGTTCTTTACCTCAACATCAAAGTCATTAGTTTTGAATCGTCTAAAACTATCACTGTATGTCGTTTCTGACAGAGCATAGTCGCCGTAAGTCTCAACAAGCATTCTGTGTGCTTCAGCTGCAGATTTCTTTTGAATAAAGTAGTGCAGTTTCCTGCAAATACACTTTCTTTGGGACGAAATCCGACATGTTTACCCTATGAAAAACAAAGTTGTTTGCACTTCGGCGAAATGACATACACTGAATTTCAAGCTTGCTCATATTACGTCCTTGTTGGTGCAATGCCATCTGACGCTACACGCACGCAGTTCTGAGAATGTCCTCTGTTGGACAACAGTGAGACCTTATTCAAGGTCCTAATTTAAAATATGTCTGAATAATATTGACAAGTCCTGTAATTAATTTTTTATTAACTTTTTCAAATTTCTGATTAAGTTGTTTTATATAATCGGTAAATGTTACAAATACAAACTTATAGCACCTGAAATTTGCAAGCTGTCATCCATCTAGGTATTGATCAGGCTTGACGTTGCTTAACTTCAGAGATCGGACAAGAATTAGTATTTCATTTATGGTTGCACGTTTTGGGTATGAGGTAGCAAGGTCTCTGACTGGGAGGTTTTGAGGAGCGTAGAACCACCTCTTAATTGCTTTTGTTCCTAGGTTCACCATGAACCGAGGTGTAGTACCTGTTAGGATCTCTAATATGGGCAAATAATAAATCTCCAGACTAGTGTCAAATCATTATGAAAGTAAAAAGATACATTTTTGTAGTAAGCAATATATTTTATATTAAAAACAATATCAGCAATAATACACTATTGGAAAAGGAAGAGAAAATTAACATGCAAAACATTTTTGAGAAAAGTTACCAAAGCTCCCCCCCAAAATTTAATTTACGATTTAAATTATCCATAGAGAGTGGATATGTCGTTAAAAAACCCCAAAGCAAAGCAAACTTTTGGTTACACTTCTATTATCGATGACGACTCCTGATTATGTTTCTGCATGTTTCAGTGTATATTCACCAGCGTAAATAGACTAAGTTTAACTTGAGAACTTCATACCAGAATCCATAAATGAGGAACATTCTACTTTGTTTCATGCATAAAAACAATTGCCGCTCTTATCAAAGATATACGAAACATTATGAGTGCAAATTCGCCTGAGGGAAATCCTGAAAACGGGTGCGAAATCACAGTGATATGGCGATCATAATGGTGGTACATATTCCGACGCCAGAAGGCAGCGAATAAGAAACAGATAAGTTTTACGACACACTAAAAATGTCAAATCTCGGAGAAAGTCACAAGAAATCCCCAATCATGAGAACAACTAAAGGCAAAGTCGAGAAAGGAACAAGATAGGGAAATAGTTGATGAATATGGATTTGGATCTCGCAATAGACACCGAGAAAAAACGGTGTAAACGAAATAGCCAAGTAATTGGTTCGAAGTCCATCTAAAACTTGTGAATTTCGAACAATTCAGGAGGAGAAATTCTGTACAGAATAGACATTTTTAAATTGCATGTCCATTCCGAGCATAGGCGATTATATCTATCCACTGATTCCTTGCTTTAGTATCTATGAATTACCATGCAATCTTGGGAAAATAGGAGAGTAATTTCGCGTTGTCTTCTCTGTTTTGAATTCAGAGTTTACTTTATCTTAAGCTGGTTGGTACGTGAGCCTAGAGAGCCTGGTATTTAAGACATGGTTTGGTGGGGGAGAATAGATGGATTCATGCCTTTTCCAAGGGCATTAGTGCGAAAGTAAACGCAACAGATTAGCCCTGTCCCTTCAGGTTGTAGCTGGTCATGTCTATACACTGATTGATTCTTTAATATCTACATACATTGTTAGGAAAGGTAGTGGAGTAGTTTTCTGTTGTCTTCTTCGGTGTTTTGAATTAAGAGTTTTTATTCTCTTAAACTGGTCGGCACCCAACTTGGTTGATTCATTCGTTTTCTTCCATTTGCATGTTGTTTAAAGCCAGAAAATATTTTTAGATTTAAAAAATTTTTTTTAGATAATAATAGTTTTAGTGATGCAAGTATTACTAATTAACCCATAGCAGTAGGGAGAATTCATACGCTTTCCAGAGGTATTTGCACATAAATGAATATGACGAACCGAAAGGGAATTGGAAATCGGCTCTTCGATTAATAATTCGAAGCCATTTTCTATAACACCACTCGCAGATCCAAGCTTACAGCACCTGGTATTTCCAAACGGTCACCCATCTAGATAATGACCTGGATCGACGTTGCTTAACTCTAGTGATCGTACAGGAACCGGTGTTTCAACGTGATGTGGACGTAATCCCGAGCTATCCTGCTATATAAGGCACAGTTGTTTGGGTGGCAGAGAAGACATGGATTCATGCCTTTTCCCTTGTGCAAAATTGATCGCAATAGATTATCAAAGATATACTTAACACTATGAGTGCCATGATCAATCAGGACGCAGAAGCGCATGTCTATTCATTGGTTCCTTTCTTTAATATTTATGAATTACCACGCGTTCTTGGGAAAGATAGTGGAGTAGTTTCCTTTTGAATTCAGAATTTTCATTCTCTTAAACGAATTGGCACCCATAATTGTTTGGGTGGATTCATGCCTTTTCCTAGGGCCTTTGTGTGAATATGACCGCAACAGACTAAACAGGAATTTAAACTTGATTTATTCATTGCATTCCCTTTCACACAGACTACTTGATCATTAAAAAAAAAATTAAATTGCTACTGGAAGTTACATTTTCCGTCGTTTGTTACATTTCCCATAGAACTAAGTTTCTTTTTATTATTTCATCTCCAAGCAAGGCAATAAATCCACTGAGACGCAAGTGGTTGCTGCGATTTAGAGAATATTAAAAAAACGCTATTAAGGAGAGAGAACAATAAAAGAACAAGTATTAAGAATGCGGAAAACATCGATTGCATTTGAATTTTTGAAGGTCAATGTTGAATGGAAAGCAAGCAACCGAAACAGTGTTCCACAAGCAAGAAGTGCGATAGAAGAAACTGTTAGTATAGAACTAACGGTTACGTCTAACCATTTCAACTGTAAATTGATGAAACCTTCCTGTCATTCTAGTACTGCCCTTAAATTCATAAACTCTAGTTACCATAGAGGAAAGTTGATCGGAACAATTACTACGAAAGTATTTATAGAAAGGGCACAGGCAAGCTACGTCAGGGTGGTGCGAAAGTGAGTGAAGCTGAGATGCTAGGTCAGGACCAGTAACATTGCAGGTTCTTTTTTTTTTGTTCTTGCTTGATTCTGATGTCTTCAATGCATAACTCGCATCTTTGTCCCTCTTCTTAATGAGGTTATATTCTGTTTTCATATAACTGATGGTTGGTCATTTGCTTTTCTTTAATACATTACTTTAATACATACTGCAGTTTTCTTTCTTTGTCTATCATCAACAGCGTCTTATTAGCATATATTATGTTGTCAACATAGTGCCCACCAATAATACTAGTTGCACTTCTAATTCTTTTAGTATTGTCTCCCTGTAAAGGTTTAATAAACCCGGTGAAAGGTTGCATACTTGCCTTACACTTTTTCTTTTGTCTAATTTCACAATTCATTTGCTATCCGTATGCAGCCAGGTTTTTTTATATAGTAAGTTTTACATGTAAAAAGCACGAGAGCCAGTCAAGGTGGAGGGTTACGCTAAGGAGTAGTTTATATGGATAAGAGGTGAAGATAGCGGTTAAATATAGACTTGAGCAGGTTATGATTGTAGTGATCGGGTAAACTTTCATTTTAGATTATTCTCAGTATACATTCTGTTTTAAGAAAAATCAAAAATAATCTTTAAAAAAATATCATCAACAGTAGGTGCAAGCAGGGGAAATGTAGGTTCTAAATGGGAAAATGTGCTGATATCGGGAAACTAACATAACAGACAGGCTCAAAAAGATCAAAGAAATAGAAACATGTAACGAAAAATAATTTTATTATTTGTTTAAATATCCATACTTAGAGACTATTTAAACAAATATTCAATTTAAAACTAATGGTTTGGTTCGAAAATTTGGTAGGGATGGTGACGTGTTTCAAGATTATTTTCAGAAGTCTGAAAATTCGTTCTTTGTTTTCAAATAAAGTTTCAAAACCAGTTCAATCCAAAGCACGCATTGTATATAAATTTGAATACAGTAACTGTAAAGTTCGTTATATTGGTGAAACTTCATTTTTCATGACCATAAAACAATATCTGGTTGTCGATAAAAATGGCCTCCATTTTGTAACAGTTGTCGAACAACAATCACTGTAAACAAAAATATAATTTTGTTTCTCTCCCATCGACAGAGCGAACACACGCGGATGCTGTTGTTGTTGTTCTTCTAAAAATTTATCTTTTCTTTTCAAGAATTTTGAATTATTTCCCATTACAACTTTGTATTGCAACATTGCGTTTAAACTTAAAAAAATCAAATCAAAGAAACTGCAGAACAAAAATAAGCTTCTCGCAGGATGTATACAATCTAAAGAGGCAACGATCGTAATGGATAAAGAGGAGATACTGTGACAGTGAAATAAATATAAAAGACAACTCGTACATTACAGCAGAGCACAAAAATCTATAACATATAAAAGTATGGAAGAACACGTGATAAAAACAAAAACAAAAAAAAAAAGCAAAAAAACAAATATAACTTTGATTTATGGACAAAGATGTTAGAACCGGATGAAACTATCATAGAAATATTGGCAGCATAAATGACTTTCAGATTAATAAGGTTACCGAAGTGATAAACCAAATATACAATAGTGGGAAAACATCAGAGATTCTCAAGAGATCAATTTTAATAACGTTGCCAAAGGGACTAAGTGCGAATGAATGCGAACTTTATATCAAACAATCAGCTTAATGAGTCACTTATCAAAAGTAATAATTACGACTAGAGTACCCGTGAATATTTCACGGTTTTCCTATGTTTTGAATTTTTGATGAGACATAATTTTTAATTTAATGACTGAATTCGATCCTTGTCATTTCCACGACTATAAAATACCCGGAGAACTTGCACTATTGTATTGTTAAATATTTGACCTTGCCAATTTATACAAAATATAGCAATATCTTAAGTATGAATGGTTCAAATAAAAAAGATGCAAAACTGACAATTTTTTCCGTATCAATGAAGCAGACGTTAAGCGTCTTATAGTTCTATCGCATCCTTTCTTTCTTTCTTTCTTTCTTTCTTTTCTAAGCATAGCCTAGATGTGGCACAAAGCCAAAAGTATAAGGCACCCAGTGAAGAACGAACTCAAGTGTGACAAGCGTGCTAACCATTGCACCACGTCGAGACGCCCAATTTATTTATTATGCCTGTTTTCTTTTTTTCTCACTAAAATCAAACAGCGTAAGTGATAGAACTTTGCTTCGTCTTCCCTTGCAATAAAAACGGAATAGTTCATTATTTATCTGAGGTAATGACAGAGTGCATAAAGTATTCTTTTAAAATTTAATTTTAAAAAGATTTTATTTTATTACCATTTTATTAATTAAATATTACATATTTTTTTTATTAAATATCAATTTCACAAAATCTTACAGTTATCAAAATAAGAGTTCTTTCTCCTTACTATAGTGATTTTCTAAGATGTGGTACAAGGCCAAAAACATTGGGCACCCTGTGAGGATCGAACTCACTACTCATTCGGAATCATTTTAGTGAGACAACATTAAACCAAGTTTCTAAGCGTAGCTTGGATGTGGCACTAGACCGTGCATCCACTATATATATATATATATATATATATATATATATATATATATATATATATATATATATATATATATATATATATATATATATATATATGATATATAGAAAGAGTTTCATGTATCACAACTCATCAGTGTGACTAGACGTCTGGTTGCCTCTAGCTAGGACCGAAACCCGACAGAATTGGCATCAATCGGGGATTCTACCACTAAGCCGTCGGCGTACGGCAGGGATAAAGTTGAATTTAAGCATGTTTATTTTTAGATAAACACACTGACTGAGAGAACTCGATTCGATTTACCGGAGAGTCTTGCATTATTAGCCGTAAAAGTCACTGTTTACAAACCCACACTTCCTCCCGAGAGAGCACAACCGAAATAATTTTTTCAGGAGCATATATATTGTCATCCAGAGAGAGACTGTTTCGCTCATCACAGCTCATCAGTGTGGCTAGATATCGGTTTTATATATATATATATATATATATATATATATATATATATATATATATATATATATATATATATATATGCAGTGAATGCACCTCAACGTGGTGTAACAGTGGCAGTGGAATTCTGATGAATTGTTGTTGGATATGAGACAAAACCCGCTCGCGATGTGCAAAGGCTGCCTAGAATTTTGTAGTGTCTACATACCTTCCGCACCCAGATTCCTTAGACGGTCGAGTCCGCATGTGGCAATATGCTATGCCAAGTCGTCGGCAGGCATTTCCCTGAAGACTTTATCCCTGCTATATATACAATCGATGCTACCACGTCTGTACCTTTCGTATGATAAAAAAGAAGAAATTATCATGAGTCTATGATGCGGCGTTTTGGTCTGAAGAACTGTCTCTCCACAGCGTCTTTTTCATTATTATTTGAGAATTTCCGTAACATCTTTGGAAAGGTAATGGAAAGATTTGCCGTTGCCGTCTTCCATTTTTCTTCTCTTAGACTGGCTGCCACTCAAGGCTAGAGAGCGCATTCTACTCTGCTATCCTTTTCTTATCGGTACCTAATATGTGATGAGAGGATGAAGGGATGAATCATACTTTTCCCAAGGGCATTAGCACGAAAATGAACACAAATACCACTGATTGTAATTTGGCCGTCAATGGCACTTAAATTTTTTGTCCATATCCCATTGGCTGAGGAGCATATTATATTGATAAACGTTTCCTATTTGTTCATTAACCTATCAGTTTACTGTTTATTAATATTTGATCCAAGTTTATATATATATATATATATATATATATATATATATATATATATATATATCTTACATATATCACATTAAAACAATAATTATTTGTCCGATCAAGTTTGAGCAATATGTACATTGTGGCCGTTTAAAATACCAGTTGCCGCAAGCTTGGATTTGTAAATTTACCGATTATATAAAGCAACTAAATCAGAAATGTGAAAAAATTAATTAAAAAAAAATAGATAGACAGAACTTGCCGATATTATTCTTCAGTCAAACATGTTCGAAAATAATATATATATATATATATATATATATATATATATATATATATATATATATGCTCGATAGTCTAGGGTAGGTTTC